TTTTTTTTTTTTTTTGGCAGAGGTTGCCAAGACTGGGGGCACCTTGCCAGCACGTCATCCTGGTGCCAGCTTGTGCGCTTGTGCCCACGTTTTTTGCCTGCTCAAGAAACTAACGACCAGCATTTCAAGCGGCTTCGGAAGGAGTGCCCTAGGTTTGGGAGAGGTTAAGTCAGGTGGCCGAGGAAGAAGCACAGATGTGACAGCATTACCCCTAACCCGCATGCCTGGCCCTCCGAAGCGCTGGAGTGTGGGTCCCGCGGAGGTGGGCCGGCGGGTGGGGGGCAGCGCTGCGGGGACAGTAGCGTGGGGACTGGCTGGAGGCTCACCTTGCCGGGGACTCCGCGGTGGTCTGTGCTGCCTTGCCAGAAGCGCCTGCTGTAGCCTGTGATGCATCCGACCAGCTTATCTTGATACGGGAAGTCCACCTTCCAGATCAACGACCCGTAACCAAAAACCCACATCTTTCGCCAGCACCTCCGGGGCGACAGTGGCGGCTCACGACTGTACGGGTCGCAACTGCAGCTTGCCCGACGCGAGTTACCGGCTGCGCAGGGCGCAGGCGCTGACAGCCGCGATCCCTGGGTGGTGGCGCAAAGCACGCTGGGACTTGAAGTTCGAGGCGCGTTTTCCGGCTCTGTCACGGTCAACGTTATTTTATTTTATTGCTTAGGGTAGCAGGAAGCGTGGACCGTCTGTGTGCTAAACGAAGTCTCCCGCAGCCTCTGCTAATCACCTTACCCTTCCTCTGGTGCGCGTGTGCAGCGGACTACAATGCCCACAATCCTTTTCCGGGAGTTGCGCCTCCGAGGTTGGAACTGTCTGCCTTTTTTCGAACGGGGGGTGCGCGGGGTGCGTGGTGCGTGTGGCGAAGGGAAAGGGCAGAGTTGTGGCTGGTGTGTTCTGGGTGCCGAGAAGACGAGTGTATGGCAGTTCGCACGTAGAAAGACATTTTGTTCTGCCTTGAAAACGGGAATTCTGCCCACGTAACAGCAGCTAGAGGAGCGCAAGCTGGAGATGTAATCCAGATTTGACTTTATTTACATTTTAAAAAATCATCTGTCTTTTTACCTTTCAAGTAAAAGCAGGAAGTTTATTGCAGAAGTTTTATGCTTGTGAAAGAGCTACTATTAATGCAACGAAACTTGCCTATGTATTTAAATTTTATGCGAAAACGACTTCTTTCGTCTTTAGTATTCTCAGCAGCTCTCTCAGAAAAGAGTAGCCAGAGGTTCTCAGGTCATGTACAGGCGTTGGAAGCTATCTGGGGAACCCCCTGAAACTGTATACAAAATTTGGGGTCTACGTGCATTTTTCTGAGGAGAAACTTTATAGTTTTCATGAGTTTTTCCAAGTCAAGGGTCCTAAAAAATGTTACGACCTGCTGGTGAGAGCCGCTGTTCCGGAATGCTGTTCAGGAAGCTCACTTGGACTGTCACGGCTGTGTTTCTGTATGTGAAACAAAAGCCTTACCAAGTGATTGTTCTTTCTTGAGGATTTCTGTTTCATGGTGTTTAGCTTTATTAAAAAAATTCTAAAACTCCCAGGTTCAAAAAGTATTATTTGTGCTCTTAAGAAATCATTAGTAAACCGCTACAAAGAAAAACGGAATTTAAGAACGACCACGTCTTTTTATGTTTTCTCCACGTTGTAGTTTCACATTCCCTGGATGGTTAGTTTCCCTCCACCCCCAACTTTTTTGAAAAATTTCAAACATACAGAAAAGTTGAAGGGGAAAAAAGAGTACAATGACCATTCATATGTCCTCTATGTGCATCCAATAATTAACATTTTGCCACAGGTGTTATTTCTTTTTTCTCTGTATATACTTTTAAATCTAAAACATTTAGGGTAAGTTATATGTGTTATGATTTTTCACTGCTAAATACTTATAAGAATAAAGACATTCTCCTAATAACCACAGCACCATCCATTATCACATCTAAGAAAATTAACAATAATAACATCGTCAAATATCTGTTCCATATTCAAATTTCCTTAATTATCTCAAAATTGCTTTTGTAGCTATTTTTTTTCACCTATCCAGGATCCATTTGAGGTTTATATATCACGTGATTTTTTTTTGTACTCTCAGTCTAGAACATAGGAAGGTTTTTATAAAAGGAGATCATAAACAGTTTACTCATGTTATCTAGTTGGTATTGAGGGTTGAAGGGAATGATCCTGCTATTACCGTTCATTACTTTTGACTTCTACTTCCCATAAGAATCTCAAAGATATTTCCCAGTTCTGATATTTTTTCAGATTATTGCCTGTAATCTGGATCTATTAGCATTGTCCTATGAGAAAAATCAGTAAAATTTAGAAAAAGATGCATGCCTTTTTTATTCAGGTGCTGTCTTTGGAGTAGTAGTCTTGTTTGTGTTGTATGTGGTTTTCCTACATAGAATTTTTTTTCTTGTATTAGATGAATTTACTTAACAATTGCCCTAAGAGGTGTGTGCGCACACGCATGTGCGTGTAACTTGGATGTAATGGCCTTGGCTAGAAATTAACATGGTTCAAAAGAGTGTAGCTTAATATTCAAGAGTCTCCACAGTTTGGCTTTAGTTACCTCTCTAACCTCATTTTCCCACTGCTCTTTGTTTACCTAAACCTCCTTATAAAGTGAAATAATTGTTTCCCTTATTTACTGCCCTTTACTCACCCTCGATTGTTCGTTTCTCTAAGTTTGGTTTGTCTGTCCTGCCCATTGTCCAGTCCTCCCTATCTCTCTTTTAAGGCTCACCAGGTTGAAGCAGTTCTCCCTTCTTTGACTATGATGGCTCCTTACCTCTACTTCTCTTATGGCACTTCCTGCTTTTTATTTTGAATCACATGTGTTCATCATTTCTATGAAACTGTACATAGCTTGAGGTGGAATCTGTGTCTATATCATCTTTATATCCTCCGCATTGTTAATCACCCAGTTGGTGCTCAGTAAGTAACTGTTAACTGAATAATTAAGTGCTCTGTGATAAATATCTTCACTTCCCTAGTAATGGACCAGTTGATCTGATCAAATTCATCCATAGCTAACCTTAGCTATTTAGCTCATTGTACGATCAACTTCTGCAGTTACAGCCTTTTATTAAATTTGTGACCATGTGTAAGTTTAGATTTAATATCGGAAATACTCTGTGTTTTCTTTTAACCTCTTCCCCCAAACCTTCCTTTTCTGGAAAAATTATTTATAATGTTCTAGAAAGTTTTTTACCTGTATCAGACTAGACATGTTGTTGGTATTTCCTGAATTACCCCCTAATATTAGAAAAACTAAGAGGAAGGTTGGGAACAGAGTGTTATTGAGAGGGACTATCCCTTGGGAGATATTTTCCTGAGAATCCTGAATCTTAGCCCAATCCACCTCATAGCTTGACTAACAAGAAATTGTTTTTGTGAGAGTCATATACTGAGAGCTATATAGGGCGTTGACTTGAACTTTGAAGGGAGATGAGGAGGAAAAAGGCCGTAATGCTGTGAAGACATTTCTGGGCTGGTACAGGAAAGGCGAACTCATCTTTCTATGATGCTCTTAATGCGTTTTAATATATTCAGTTAGTGGGACTGTTTTATCAAAGAGAGAACCTGAGTGTTTAGCCCCTTTTGCAAAGGACCAGCTGTGGCAGGAAAACTAGATTTACCTACTTATCTTTGTTCTTTTCAGTAAGTGTCCTTCTTTTCTAACCTTTTTGGGGTTGGAGGACTATAATTCTTGAGGCTGAGCATTGCCAGTTATTAAATGGTTATCTTTGTATGCACTTGGGATTAACTGGAGGCATTTAGCTCTCTCTCTGATCAACAGAGTTCTAGTGAGTACATTTTAATGGGCATATAAGTAGGTGCAGGAGCCTGCAGGAAGGAGCTGCTCAGACATTTCCAGAAAAGGAATGACAGAACACTTAAAACTCCCTTGCTGTCTTTAATAACATTCCAAGGAATCTCAATTCCCCAGAGAGACTTCCTGGGTTAGACTCTAGCAGAGGCTATGGCCTGACAGGTCTCTTTCTCCATCTCAGACTCTACTTCAACAGCCATGTGAGACATGCTAGACAGGTCCACTTCGATCTCCTAATCTCTAGGAGTTCAGTGTTGTTTTATTGACTCTAGTGTTTTCTTTCTGCCTTGTTTTGTAGACTGGTCAAAAGAATGGATTTTACAGAGGCTTACTCTGATACATGCTCCACGGTTGGACTTGCTGCCAGGGAAGGCAATGTTCAAGTCTTAAGAAAACTGCTCAAAAAAGGACGGAGCGTTGATGTTGCTGATAATAGGGGATGGATGCCAATTCATGAAGCAGCTTATCACAACTCAGTAGAATGTTTGCGGATGTTAATTCATGCAGGTAAAGTAAATTCAAGGTATGGGAGGGTGGGCCTGCAATCTGGATTAATAAAACATAAAACAGTGGTAATATATGGCTTATTTGTTTCCCTTTCTATAACCATAAAATAACCACCTGTACATTATTAAGAATGATAAGATTGCTTGCCTTGGGTTATAAATGTTGTCCTTTATATGGAAGTGCCTGTGCCTGGCCCATTTTTAGTGGCTGAGCTACGTTTAAGCATTGGATAGTTTCTGGTTACGGTTATTCTTTCTCCTTTTTCCAAACAAAAGGAGCAGTGTTACTGGTATTGAGGGTGTGAGTATTCTAATTAGTCTTTTTTTTTTTTTTTTTAATATTTTACAGTTCCCTTAATCTTGGGAATCTTTCCAATTGCTTTGACTTTATATTTGCTGAGGACACAGAGAACAGGATAGACAAGGTCCCTGCCTTTATGGTGCTTATATTCCTGTCAGGAAAACAGACAATAAATACTTAAACAGTTAACCAAAATAATTTCAACAGGTAAAAGTATTGTGGAAAAAATAAAACAGAATAACAGGACAGAGCAGTCATGTGCTACTGCACATCTCTTTCCAAGTCTGTATTAGTTGACTTCATGCTTGTAACTAGAGATCAGCTATGTGGCAGTATTTACACCACAGAAATCAGCCAGTGCTACAAAGCAGTGCTGTCACCGGGCTTTTTCCCCCCTCCCTGAACCAGTTATACATTTACCAGCACACTACTGAGGGAAGGGCTCAGTAAACAAAACTAAGTGGGAGATTCTGACACTCGGGAAACAGGATGGGGAGAGAATTAAAGGCATGAATTTGACTTTTTTTCTCTAGTCAAAAAACTATCCCTGATACACGGTTATTTCTCTCCACATCAGAGCAGTGCTGTTTATGTTACAGTTTCTTTCCCCTTTGGCTGCTGAATAAACTTAGGCATGCTTTTCATTAATTGTGTTAGAATTGGCTGTTCAAGTCATCTATGTTTTCTTATAGAGTATCTTTAAAATATCATCGTCTGGCTGGTGTGGTTCAGTGGTTGAGCATCGACCTGTGAACCAGGAGTCATGGTTCGATTCCTGGTCAGAGCATATACCCGGGTTTTCTGGCTCGATCCCCAGTAGGGGGTGTGCTGGAGGCAGCCAGTCAATGACCCTATCTTATCATTGATGTTTCTGTCTCTCTCTGAAATCAACAAAAACATATTAAAAAAATAGAAATTTAAAATATCATTTTTATTATTAATGACTGTTAACTTTGATGTTTTTGGAGAATAAGATACCCACACATAGTTAACAATGTGAATAGTTGATAAAAATGGTAAAATAAAATTTTCTCACTATATTTTTATTAGAGTTCACTATTATGAAATAAACTTTGGATAAATCTAATTTATTTGTAGTGTGTACACAAGGATTAGGGTAGGGGTAAGGAGATAGGAAGTCGGGTTAGCAGAGGGTAGGTAGTAGCTATTTGACTTATCTTCTTAGGAGGTGGTGACATTTTTGGTCTCAGTGTTCCATGAGTTTGGTTGTTCTCTGTAGTTGGAACTAATGTCCAAAATTCTATCAGTTTTGGTAATCTGATTCTCTCACTAAAAATCAAATCAGAATGAGGCAGAAGGCTACACAGCCTGTTGCTCACTTTAGAAAATGTTTTATATATTCCCCTGGCCCATTCTTCCTTTTGTAAGTTAACTATCCCCTGCCTTTTAAAGAAAGAATATAATTAAACTTTTCTGGATGATTTAAGTTCAGGTATATTGACCTGTGAGGAATGGTAGGTGACTACTTTGTAAAAGGTCTAGCTAGCATACAGCTACATATGAGAAGGTATTTTAAAATGATGGTCAAGCACAAACATTTCTAATCCTGAAGAGCAAAGTGAGGTCTCTTCTGCTTAATGGTGACAGCAGCATCTTTATACCTGCAGCAGTTAATGCTATTAATTATGGATTAATCTTAAAAGTCCCCAAAATAAGTTTGACATATCTGTCATTCTTTATACTTGCTATATCTGTGTTTTATATGATTCATAATTCTCTTGTCCCTTGTGGCTCAGCTCATATACATAAAAGTGTCTTATATAATTTCTACCTCCTTGAACTTCATCTAATATTAGTAAACTGCCAGAGATTCCTAAAACAGACCTTTCTTTAGTGCACTGCAGTGTGAAGGTGCTCAGACCCACACAAAAAGAATGGAAGAGTCTGAAATGATTAGGAAGGGTTTGCTTTACTGTCTCTTTAATTTAGATCTAGAAACTAGTCCAAGAATCTTGGTCTTCTCATTTAAGTTGGAGAAGGACATTTAAATGTGGTATGGATTACTTAGAGATTTAATATGCATATATATGTATTTTTCACTTTTGCTTTGTTTAAAGTATTAAATGCACAAATAACAATTTTGCTTGTCTTTTTTTTATCTTTGTTGGAATTTTGGTGTAATAGATAATGAGATTTCAAGAAGCTTATTATCGTGGAGGGCAGTAAAGAACTTCAGTGGCAATTAATCATGCCATTCAGTATTAAACTGTTTGCTGACTAAAGGTCACTTAAAGTCTTGTAATTAATTATAGCATATCACTAACAAATACTTTGTTTTGGCAAATAGAGGATCTAACGCTTAGTACTTTTTATTAGTTCATGTTAAGAAAATATGCTCTCAAACTGACCACAATAACAGATGATGAAGATCCTTAGATAAATAAAGCAATGTAGCATAGTGATTAAATTATGTTCAGATGGACCTGGGTTCTTCTCACCATTACATTTTATTGGTGTGACCTTAGACAGGTGTTTAAATCTCTTGGTGGTTCAGTTTCTTCACCTGTAAGATGGAAATACTCCTTTAATTCAGCTCAGGTGAGAAACTGTGGGCCATCCGTAATTCCTTCCTTTTTCTTATATCCCCCCACCTGGTCAGCAAATCTTTATGTGTGTGTGTATGTATTATGCTGTTTTGATTACTATACCCTTGTTGTATAGTTTGAAATCAGGTAGTGTGATACTCAGGAACATTAGTTTTAGTTCTGGTATTCCAGAAAATATTAAAGTTTAAAAAACATTTTTTTTGTTTATTACTATCAGAAATGCCTTCACCATTCACCTTACATCCCATCCTTCTGTTGTTGGTATAGAGTTTTATTGTTTTGGAAACAAAGGTAAGAAAGTCACTTCTCAATATTATCTTTCTCTTGGAGTTAAAAAAAATTTTAATGTAGACATTATTTACACAATTTGAATGTTACGAGAACCTTAAGATTTTTATTAACAAATAAACCTCAGAAACATTAAAGTAAATGAACTTATAAATTCCTTGTAAATTTTATACCACTGTTTGATTTCTTTGGAGTGCATTTTATTATTTTAGAAATGCAATCTTCATTAACTATTAGACTGTAGTGTTAGGTTAGAAAAGGAGTTTGTTTTTTATGTTTTGTTTTTTACATTCCATTCTTATGAGTTATTTATTTTATAATTGTAAGCTTGTACCCCTTGATCCCTTCCACCTATTTTGCCCACTCCAAATTCCTTTCCCCTCTGGCAACCAGTAATTTGTTCTTTGTATTTGTAAGTTTTGTTTGTGTGGTTTTTGTTTTGTTTGTTCATTTATTCTGTTTTTAAGATTCCACTTTTAAGTAAAATTGTATGGTGTTTGTCTTACTTATTTCACTTAGCGTAATACCCTCAAAGTTCATTCATTTAGTCACAAATGGCAATATTTCATTCTTTTTGTGTGGTTGCATAGTGTTACAGGGTGTGTGTGTGTGTGTGTGTGTGTTGTGTGTACGTATATATCACATCTTCATTATCCAGTCATCCGTCAGTGACACTTGGGTTGTTTCCATATCTTGGCTGTTGTAAATATGCTGCACTGAACATAGGGTGCATGTGTCTTTTTAAATTAATGTTTTGATTTTTTTCCCTTTGGTTAAATAGCCAGAAGTGGAATATTTTAAACTACCTTAATGTTACTAAGCTGAATAGCAAGGAGGTAATACTAGAGACGAGACCATTTCTCTCACGGAAATTTAGAAATAAAATAAGTCAAATTTATTAATACAGTAAACCTTGCTTAAGCAGATCTTTGGTGCTGCATCCTCTTCAGATTTCGCTTGTGTTACCATTCAGCTCCTGCCACTCCCCTTCCCTTCCCCACCAAAAATTAGAGACTCGAAAATGAATGAGTGGGCAGAAATTTTGTGTAAAGAATACCAGAGACCTGTGCACCTGTAGAACTTTTTTTTAACTTTTTTAGAGAGTTTTAAACTATGAGACCTCCCATTTATGATTGGTTTAATATTTCCTGGAATCTTTGCTTTTTAATCCCAAGAAACAGAATTGATATCTTCTAGTTGATGGTTTTTTATTCTTTCATAGATCCATCTGAAAACTACATTAGGAGAAAGACTTTTGAGGGCTTCTCTGCACTACATTTTGCTGCACATCGAGGACACTGGAAGATCGTACAGATTCTTTTAGAAGCTGGGGCAGATCCTAATGCAACTACTTTAGAGGAAACCACACCATTGTTTTTAGGTGAGATAAAGTATTTGTGGTACAAATGCAACTTTTAATTTTTAATTTTTTTTCCTGAAGACATGAAGCTTAATCCCCCCACACCCAAGCTGTGTACTTAAAGTATGTCCTTTGGCAAATATTATACTGCTACTTCTTTGATTCAGAACAATTCCATTATTCCCCACCACATTCTATCATGCTGCCTATTTTTAATATTTCCTGTACCCCGCTTTACCCTTGACAACCGCTGATCTGTTTTGACCCCTGTAGTATGCTTTTTTGCAGAATGTCATAAATATATATGGAATAGTACAACATATAATCTCCAAGACTGACTTCTTTCACTTAGCATAATGCTTTTGAGATTCACACTGTCACATATATCACTAATTTATTCCTTTTTATTGCTAAGTAGTAGTCCATTATATGAATGTACCACAGTTTATCCACTTACTAGATGTTAGACATTTGAATTATTTTCAGTGTTTGATTATTATGAATAAATTGCTACAAACATTTGAATGCAGGTTTTGTTTGAATATGTTTTCATTTCTCTTGGATTATTACTTAGGATTGTTGGGTCGTGTGGTCAGTGTATGTTTACCTTTGGCAAACAATTTGCATGTTTCTTATAAACTGAATACCATTTTGCATTCCCTCTGGTAGTGTTTGAGGGTTTCACTTGTCCCACATTTTTACCAACACTTGGTATTGACAATTTTTCTTTTTTGCTTTTACATTTTAGCTATTTTAATAGGGATTTAATTTAGTGGTATCTCATTATGTTTTTTTGTTTTTTTTAAAAAATATATCTTTGTTGATTTCAGAGAGAGGAAAGGAGAGGGAGAGAGAGAGATAGAAACATGAATGATGAGAGAGTCATTGATCGGCTGCAGCCCGCAACCTGGGCATGTGCCCTGACCGGGAATCGAACCCTGACCGCCTGGATCCTAGGTTGACGCTTAACCACTGAGCCACGCCCGGCCGGGCTCATTATGGTTTTAACTTGCATTTTTCCTGATTGCTAATGAAGTTGAGCATCTTTTCATTTGGTTATTTGCTATCCTTTTCCCCCTGCCCTTAGTTTTGTGTTCAGATGTTTTGTTTTGAAATAACTTAAGATTTACAAAAATGTTCAATAATAGTACTAAGGATTCTTAGATATCTTTCCACCCAAATTTTGTTCTTTTGCCCTGTGCACTTTATCATTTTATTTTGCTCTATACTATCTATCCATATAATATTAAGCCCTTTGAAATTAAACTGTAGATGTAATTCTTCTCTACCCATAAATACTTCAGTGTGAACTTCCTAAAAGCAGTGAAATTCTCTTATGTAATTGTCATGATCAAAATCAGGAAGTTAACATTGATACACTATTGTTGATTAACCTGCAGATCTTACTCAGTTTTGCCATTTGTTCCACTAATGTCCTTTATAGCAAAAAAAAATTACTATTTTTGTTCAGGATCCTGTCCATGATCACTTGTTACATTTACTTCTCATGTCTCTTTAGCCTACTGTAATTTGGAACAGCTCTTCAGTATTTATCTTTTATGATTCAAAAATTTTTCAAGAGTTCAGGCCACTTATTTTGTAGAATGTCTTTCAATTTGGGTTTTCTGATGTTTTTTTGGATAAAGTTCAGATTATGTATTTCTGGCAGGAATACCACAGAAGTGAAATGGTATCTTAGTGCATCTTATCAGGAAGAATATGACCCATTACTGGTAATGTTAATATATAAAAGTATTTTGAATATGTGAAATGTATCATGAAGATGTTTCATAGAAGCCTTGATGTAATATGGTTTGAATTCTCCACTGGGGAGATTGCTGTTTTATATAAAGTTTCTTTCTTTTCAACATCCACATTTAGCCCACTTTGGATATTCTGTACAACTACACAGTAGGCTTTCACTGAGGCTCAGCTATGTGCAATCTCTGTTCTAGTTGCTGTCTTCAAGGAATCTATATGGAGGAGTGTACAAAATAAATTAAGTTGTGTAAAAAGAAATAGAATTAAAGTGACCAGAATATTAAAAGAGGGAAGAATAAGTCACCCTGGATAACAGAGGAAGGCTTCATGTGCCTTTAGAGTGCTGTATTTATTATAACAGTAACGTTTATGGAGCACAATGTATACCAAGACCTGTTTCAGGTGTTTTATATGAATTAGCTCATTTCATTTTTTCCCAAGATTTTTTATTGATTTTTGGAGAGAGAGGATGGGAGAAGGGGGGAAAGAGAGAGAGAGAGAAACACTGATGTGAGAGCCAAACATCAATCAGCTGCTTCTTGCACACCCCCTACTGGGGATCGCCCTGCATGTGACCTTTCATGCACAGGCAGATGCCTAACCAATACAGCCATACAGGCAGGGCAGCTCATTTAATTTTCACTGTGATTCTATGAGATATATACTGTTATTATTTCCACTTTTACAGATAGAGGAAATTATAAAAACAGGATCAGAAAAGCTGTATTTGAGTCTTGATCCTGCTATTGTTTGTGTATTGGTTAGAATAGCATTTCCTGAATTGATTATTGAGCTATTAATAGATGTTTGTTGACAAAAGGGTTTTTTATGAATATATGTTTGGAAAATGCTATGTACTATATTCCCTAATGTAGGGAAACAAAAAACATTAGCCGTATAGCTTAATGTGTCCACTCAGTCTGAAGTATCCTCTGCATTCTATGTTATCTTATTTTAGTATTTTCATAGCTCTTATCACTGACTGCAGTTATTTTATTAGCTTTTTTTGACTGTCCCTTCCACTAGAAAGACTGATGACAGCTGGCATTTTATTTATCTTACTCAGTATCATAACTCTCAAACTCAGATCATGCCTGGTTTGGGGTAGGCATTCAGTAAATTATTTGTTGAATGAAAGAATGAAGGTCTCTGAAGAGGCCTCTTATAAAACAATACTTGTTTTAACTTTAACCCAGCATTTTTGAAATGTATTTGACTATAATATTCTTTTTCGTTGTGGAACACAAAGAATAGTAATATTTCATGGGACTATTTGAGAAGTGCTAGGTTGGTCACTTATAATTTCAAAATGTAATAGTCACATTTATGAAATTTAGTATTGTGCTTGTGTATTTGGAGAAAATTAGAAATGCAGAGTTTTTAGTGATTTATATTTCATATTATAGTGTACTTGCAATTTTTTTATGTTAAGGAAAAATTGCTAAGATAATTCAAACCCATGAATGAAATTTAATCACTTATTTTTAATAATAGGATTTATTTAGTGGTTTGTTTTTTTTTTTTGTTTTTTTTACAGCAAACTTACCATTCTAGTTATGTTTTGTATTGGCTGATACAAAAAATAATTTGGCTCAAGCAGGGGTTTTAAACCCAAGGAGATGTTGTCCTGTAGTACTTTTAAGTGCACAAATGTTGCATCAATTATATTAGGTCCTTGTTTGGAAGTAGATAAGAGTATTTTTAAAAAAAAGAAAAGTACTGTCTTAGCTTTTGCAAGAACATAATGTCATAGAATGAATATATGACTCTTTGATTTGGTGATCTGGGCTCCAGTGTCCGCTCTGCCCATAAGTAATATGACAAACTTTAGCAATCTGCTTTGCTTACTTGTGTCTTTCTGCGTCTAAAATAACCACAGTGATCCATGTGTTAATTTATAATGGAAGAGAGTCTTTTATTAAAACAAAATTCAGAACACTTCAAGGTTTGCAACAATCTATAGATGATAATCTCTGGGTGAGGAAGAGTGGCTGACCCAAGTGGACTTAAAATGAGAAAGGGAGACGGCCCATCTAGTATAGCAGCTTCTTCCCCTATCTGTAGTTATCTTCCAAGACTGTTGTTTGCTGAAACTTCGGGGTGTGTTGTCCCCTTTCCCTGGGGGAAGTGATATTCCCGCGCATATTGTAGTACCTGTCCCGATGGCCCAGTTACTACCGAGACTGTGCTAGGGGTATAAATATAAAACCAGAGGATGAAGGGATAGAAAATGAGCACAGCACTATGGAAACTTGCCAGGTGACTAGAAGAGTCTTTGACCTAAGTCATGGGTGATTATGATTGAACTGAAGGTTAAATGCAGAGAGTTAAAATAGTAGTAATCCACAGTGTATAATGGGAACACTTTTCTTATACACAACTCATCGACATTTTCATAAAAATGAGTTCAGAAGGAACTCTTTAGTTTGATGGCAGTAAGAAATTAGAAGACCACAAGAAAAAGTCAGGAAACTGCTCCTTATCTTTCCTCTTGAAAATTGTCCTTCTAGAACATCTTTTGGTTAACATGCAATTTAAAGTTTATATTTTAATAAGGAGCCTGCCCCTTACTTATTTTGCCCTTGTCTCCTCCTTTCCCTACTCCCTTTCCGTTGCCTCATAAATCCATACGTACTAAATATTTTAAGGATAGATTTGTAAAATTGCTTTGGAAATAAGAATACCCTTATTTATAAATATAGCAGATTCTAAGTAGAAATCCAGGTAATTATATAGGAAATAGGTTTTCTTTAGCTGTGTATAAAACAACACTGATAAATTGGAGGCTCGAATCCAACCCGAAGTGACTTTATAAAACAGTTTCTGTGGGAACTGCACAGCATGCAGTTCTGGCTTTTGATGGATTATTTTTCATTTTTGTTCTTCTGAGTCTCTGCTTATCCTGTGTAACCTTCAGTGTTAAACATAGCAGTAACTTTTAATAAGAACAGAGTGTTTTATAAACAGTGTTATGTGAGGCTGCCTATTGCAATATTTAACTGTAAAATGTGTCATGCTTCAGCTTACGTGGCTGAGTTATCCTTTAACTCTGACTTTGCTGATGTGTTCCAGAGGGAACATACCACCATGTGTTTCACTTTTCACTGCTATCAGCTGGGATCAGCAGTCATTTATAGGGTTGTTTTATGAGGTGCTAGGAATTTTGAGGTTTAGCACTCATATTTAATAAATATTATATTTATTAAATTTTATCTTTGGAGTTATTTTTAGATATTTCAGTGGAAAGATTAATCATCTTC